AAACCCCTGAACCCGAAACCCTTAAAGTGGCAGGCCAAAGTGTACAGCTCCCTGGATGCCTGGCGGGGGCCTGGCGGGCCCAACCATGCGGGGGAACTCAGTGACCGAGCTCAGGGATTCTTGAGACTCGGGTGTTCCTTGAGTTTAGGGCGTTTTAGGGTTTAGGGCTTAATGCTTAGGGTTTTCAGGGCTTTTAGGGTTAAGGGTTTAAGATTTAAGGCTTGGGGTTTTCAGGGCTTTTAGGTTTAAGGGTTTAAGATTTAAGGCGTGGGGTTTTCAGGGCTTTTAGGGTATAGGGTTTAGGGTTTAGGGTTTGAGGGTTAGGGTTCAATGTGTTTTGGGTTTTAGAGCCAAGGCTCAGGGTTTGTAAGTATGATTTAGGGTTTAGGGTTTAGGGTTTAGGGTTTAGGGTATGACACGAACAGAAAGGATTCATTAAAGAGCGTTGCTTGTGATACTCGTGTCGTTTGTTCCCGTTCTGGCTTCTGTCTAGGACATTTTCTGGTGGGTGGTCCGTTATAGGAGCCTTATAGAAGGTCTATATACCTTATAGAAGCCCTATATACCCTAAACTCCCCACCCGTGGTTTCCTTTAATTCTGGTTTCGTTTATGGAGATCTCCAAAACGTATATATTTCTGGACTGTGACCTTTCTAACGCGAATGGAGGATGATTTGATGGTTGACGACAGGCCTTGGGATTGAGCCCGATACTCCGGATCCTGAGATCCACATGCAGGCCGAGAACCCTAAGCCTCTCAACCCCAATCCCTACCTTAAGAACTCAAAACCCACTTTTTTGTAGGTTCTTATTATAAACCCTAATATGGGATGTATAGGGACCCTACAAAAAAGTAGGTTTTAGGGTTCTTAAGGTAGACACCAAACCCCTATACCCGAAACCCGAATCTCTTCCCGTTCGGGATCTGGGATCTCCGCGTTGGCATGGTACTTCGGTTCTACGTCGTCGATCTTGCTGAAACCACCCCCGTGTAAGATCTAAGTTGGGCTTCAGGCTTTAGGTTTGAGACTTCTTCCCCAAGGAGTTTGAAGTGAAGTACTAAGATGGGGGGGAAGTACTTGCGCAAGCCATGATGGTACTGGCACAGAAACATCACGCTGGACTATGTAGTTACTTGAGATCCCATGGCGCGGTATGCAAGATTTGTTGCAGGTGTCTGTAATTAAATTTCTCAACCCGAAACTCGAGGCCGCAACTCTAAAATCAAGGCGATTCTGAAGCCCAGACATGGTTTGGACGACCCAGAAGATTGTTACTCCTGGGGTAGTAGAAGGGAGACCCCTTGAAGGGGACTCTTCTGAACCCTACTTGTGGCTCTCTTAAAAGGGAACCTTCTGGAGAGGGTCTATATCCCAAGGGTCCCCCTACTCCGAACTCCCAGATTCTCCGCTTCCTTCAGAAGGATCCACGACTCCGTAACATAAGGGTCCAAATAATTACCCATACTTTTATTGTTTGTTTTTGGGTGGTCCTTATTTTTGTTAAAGTTATAGTATCATGTACCCCAAACACCCCTATTCTACTTATTAAGGCCCCTAAACCCTAGACCCTTATAGTATCTCCCTTATAGAACCTTGTAAGGAACCCTGTAAAGGAGCCCGATTCTAATCATTAAGGCTCCGAGATAAACCCTAGACCCGAAACCCTAAATTTAAATCCTAAACCCTAAACCCTAAACGTCAGGACCCTGTAAAGGAGCACTATGAAGCCCTGTTCTACTTATTAAGGCCCCTGCACTACACGTAGAGCCTTCTTAGAGTTGCAGGACTTCGGGTTTAGGGTTGAGGGTTTTAGGGTTTAGGGATTTAGG